GGACCTTGAGGAGAGCAAAGAGAGAATAAACTTGACTTGCACCAGCCAAGAATACAGCCCAAAGACTGAGTAATCTAGATCTAACAAGTCCAGTATGTATGCATCCAGCAATGCTTCCAGTGGAGTGGAGAAACACTGCTATTGGGGCTGAATTTGCCTCAAGAAATATCTATGGTCTTCCTGGTCATTCCTTTGTGTGTGGGTTGCATGTGGCAAGACAAACCAGCAGTTCAATTATGACCAAGCTCTACTTATAATCCATAAACGACTCTGTTTTCTACTTAATCAATTCAATCTACATTTTTCTAACATCCTGCTGGGTACTGTATCAAGTTATTTATTAGTGGTGTAGTTCTTCAATACAGATTTTCAAATAGAGGTATAAAACAACCCTGATGGCAGACATTAAGAATTCATATTTACCAACAATTACTGTAAGACATACGAGACACATCAGGTATTACCCTTCTAAATGTGTAAAAGCATCTTGCTATATAGCATTATATCGGAGCATTGACTTTCTTATGTTGTAAACAGCATTTGAACTGGTTTCTAACTACATGATTAATTCAGTTTATTATCACGGAAGGCTTAAATGTGGCAACCCCAATACACAGATTTTTGTTAAGCAAAATCTTGAGGATTAATGTGACTTGTACATACATACCAAAGCTTAAATCACAGGAGCAGGTAATTAGGCATGAAATTCTATTCCATAGATGGGGGAGTGGGGAGGGAAGAATTTATTTCTGCCCTCTGTTATACCTGTAAAAAATGTTTTAAAAAACCCACACATGTATAATGTATCTAAAGTTTTTTCAAAACTACCTAACACTGTTGTGACCGCTGAAGATGCTATGGGAGGAAACAGCTTTTTTTATACATGCAAGAATGAAACTAAAGAATGACACAAATCATTTTCATTACATACCGGCAGTGCTTTTATATTCCAGGCCACCTACTTTATATTCTCTTATGTTTCATCTGTGTCATCAACCAATTTAATCATAATGGCACTGAAGAAAGACGATATTAGATTTGTCTCACTTGACCCATTTTTTTCTTAACTGAGATTGTTACTGTGTACAGTAGCATTTTCTCTTAGAATCATGTTCTGTCCTAGATCTACTTTATTTTTTTTTTTAGTGCATGTGAAATTAAAGAACTAAATGAAGGCCTCAAACACAATTTTCTTGCTTGCTTGAATGCTACCATACAAGCTGAGCAACACTCTCTTCTTTTCTGTATCCTCATCAGATTTAACCAATATTTAGAAATATATCACATACTTAGTTTTTCCTTCTTTCCACTAGACAAGAAGAGTGGACACTCAGCTAACTTCATGTTAATTCTTGCAGTAACATCGAGCATCGAAATGCAATAGCTGTGTGCATGGGCAGAAAACCTAAGATGACTACACAGCATGAATCTAAACTACATGCAAACTCTTGCTAAAATACAAAAACTAACAATATCATCTGACGTGCAATATTTCCAACTGATTCTTTTAGCAATTATAGCAATATTGTCTGCATTGTAGCATAGCCTAGCATAGCAATATTGTCAGTGGATTTTACAATGAAAGCTACAAGTAAAATTATGTTAGTCATCAACAGTAAATAAAGCTTTCAAAAACATTTCAAGCTCTTTAACAGAAAAAAGGCTTTTCAAACCTTAGCAGACTTGTGGAAAACAAATATGTAAGAGGTGTACGAAATTATAATGGTAATGTATAGCATGTTAATTATATCCAAAGGAAAAACCAGCATTCCAACAATAGCAGAATGCTCACAAAGGGAAAAACAAAGGCAGTATTAGAAAGAAATTAGTTTTGACAAGATCAGTGAGAACCTGAAGCTAAAAAGCATTACAGAAGTATATAATTGTCCCCAAGTTAGTGTTGTGAATCTAGGGTGTTTGGAAGTAAGCTTATATTTAAAATAAATTTACTAAAATTGAAGCTTGAAATTCATATCAAGGACAGTCAGACAACTTAAATATAACACTGACATAATTCTCAAGATGTTTTTCATGATTGAACATGGATTTTTTGTTTCTTTTCCCTATAATACTGCACTGCTTCATGACATGCACTGAGGTTGCTTAATAATTTAAGTAGTTTTCTCTTGCCTGGAAACAGTGACTGTTCTTACACCTCCAGCATGAATTATAAATTCCGTGGCTTTATTATATATATAAAGTGCAATCATTAGCAGGCTGAAGAACTGGGGAAACCTAATTCTTCTGCTGTACTTGTAGAGAAGACCTCAACCTCTGACAAGACCCCACAGCAAACTTAATTTGTAAGTAGGAGTCTGCTGACACTGGCAGTAATACCTAGTCATACGCAGACATTACTCCAGAGAAAATCTTCATGACTGGGCTGGTAAAAGCAGTATAAATTGATGAAAAATAACCTGCAGGTAGAGAGTTGAGCTGTTTTGCTCTTAGAAATAATTCTGCTGGTTGTAGACCTCGGTATACCCAACACTGTCTTGAGTTGCAAATAGTCAGAGACAAGCATGGTGTTCACCATTCCCATGGTGTCCTGGTCAGCCCAGTATCACTGTCTCAAAAGCTGTGATGGCAACACCGCAGCTCAGAAAAAAAACATGTTCAAGAGTAAACCAGGTGAGTTCAGTAGCAAAGGCTCAGTTGGGTCCAGCTAAAAGCACAGACCCAGCAGACTCAGCCTCACCATCAGCAGGGAGAGGCGAAAGTGCACCCACCATGACAAGCAAGTCACTTGCACCACACCGAGCTGTCCTTTACAACCACCACAATCCTCACCAAGTCTCATCCTCCCTTAAACTGGGATCTAACAACACAACTCCTGCCCTACCTTCCATCTCCATCTTCTCACCAACCTGTCCCAGATGGTCTCCTTCCAGCCCTACATGGCACCCTGGCCACCAGAGGAGAGCACAGGCTTTGCCCTGGCCACTGCAGGTTTCGGGGCATGCCACGTGCACTGACCAATGCCTCCAGCAAGGCCTCCATGTAGAGCAGGGCCTCTTGCTTCTGGATTCTGCTGAAGGCTTTTTTTTTCTTTGACTAGTAGAAGCCTGCCTGTTGTTTGGTTTAAAATCTGAGTAAAGCAAATCATGTGCGTCCTTTTAGGACTCATTTCCACAGTGCTGGCTCTCATAATGTAAATAATTGGGCTATCATAATCCATTTTGTCCCTCATCCTGACACCCAGGACAATCGCCTAATTTTGTTTTGTTTTTACTACAATGAGAGTTCCAAGTTCCATTTTAGTTATTTTTATATTTAAATACAGTTGTATTTAATTATTGTTTTTCTTTTTATGAATTCCTATTTCCACAGTGAAGATCTTCACAGTTCAGAACGCTCAATCATCCCAACTGCATCCAACCACATTACCTAACCCATCTTTTAGGAAGCAGCAATTATTATTGCCATGAAAAAAATAGTCAGATGCAGTGTTTCTAAATGTTTTATATTTCACATATTGCATCCTCCATTATAAGATATCTCATTCATGCTTATCCTGCTCACAGTTCAAGACTACTGACACTGTAGTGCTGCATCCCTTGCACCCAAAAATACAGCAATGGAATGAGGTATTGCCCAGATACCCATCACTTAAATGAATAAAATCCAAAGGTAAAAAATGAGCAGCAAGGAACAAGGGGAAGCATTCCACGAGCTCTTCCTGACGCACATGTACCCTGACATGACTGGATCTAGATCAGATTTTCCCAGTGTCCTTGTAGCTTGATGTTTCCTCTGTGTGGTAGGCCAGCCCAAGTTAGAAATTTACCAAAACCACCCACACATTAGCAGAAGTGACTGAAAATAACCCCTGAAACATAACAAATGATAATAATCAAAAAGTATCTACCTGTGTAATGATAGAAACAGGAACAGCTCAGAGGGTTCAGTTTTCCAAGTAATTGAGTTGGACACAGACCCTGCAGTGTGCAAAGTCTTTACAGAAGTAGTTCCCTGACTGAAGTCCAGCCTCCTGCAATTTGTTCATGTTTGTAGTTGATTGCAAACCGTGAAGGTTTTGTCACACTAAGACATCTATGAAAACTTCCTCTACGTGAATTTTCCTTCCTCTACTACTGCTTGAATTCATTCTGCAGCCTTTCCTTCAGTTCAAGCAGAGTCTCTTCATTTTGGACACCTGCATTCCTGAAACTGGTACTTAGCAAATTCACCTTTGAGATCTTTAAAACCTTCGCCATGTTTCACTAAAATCAGCCCCAAAGCATTAAAGTTCAGGTAGGGAAGGAGAACACAGGAGTTTGGGTGGGCAAGAAGCATGCATTTTTGCACAAAGTGCTTTGAAAAGGTTTGCTTCCTTTGAAAACTTATTTCAGAAGGTTCTTTCAGTTTTCCTGTAATCCTGTTTTATGGGGAAACTCCAACTCCTTGTGGTGGGTCTGGCCTTTATTTTGAACTTGGTAGAGGCCACCTTGATTGATATATCCTAAATTTGGTAGCCAGCGCAGCAGAGAGCTGACGTGTTTGCAGTGTCTCTCATGGGCTGCTTGTTTTGACTTTTTTTTTAGATTTTGTTTTACTCTGCGCCACTCCAAAAAATAAATACATGGCATAATATCGTGGAGGTGCTAATCATACCACACCAGAACACTTGATCGCTGCCGGACACCTCCCAGGTGCCTTCTGTCCCTGAGGGGCTTTTCTCCACCGCATGAGTGCGAGAGAAAACCAAACCCCAACACTCTCGCACGGCTGGAAAGGCTCGACTTCCTCCTCGTTTTCTCCCCCCCACTCCGACCACCTCGAGAGACGGCTCTTAGGGCGGCGGGCCGGGTGTGGGTATGTGTGTTCAGCGGAGGATATGGGTGGGGCCCAGGGGACAGCGGAGCCCCGCGGCCGCAGCAGCCGGGGAGGGCCCCGCGCTTCCGTCCCGGCGGCGGCGGCCGGGACAGAGCCCTCGGGCCGGGACAGAGCCCTCAGGCCGAGACAGATCCCTCGGGCTGGGACGGAGCCCTCAGGCCGGGACAGCGCCCTCGGGCCGGGACAGATCCCTCAGGCCGGGACAGTGCCCTCGAGCCGGGACAGCGCCCTCGGGCCGGGACAGAGCCCTCGGGCTGGGACAGCGCCCTCTCGGGCTGCGCCTTTGGTCGGGACAGCGCAGGCAGCGGAGCCATGAGCCCGGCAGGTCGGTGCGGGGCGGGTTGCGAGGGCGGGGAGGTTCCCCCAGGGTGTTGCGACCCGGTGCGGTGTTGGGGGTGGAGACCTTGCCCTTGAAAGTCGCCCTCGAGAGCAAGCAGGCTCTTGTCTCTCTCTGATGCATCTCTTACGGTGTCGCAGTACCAGCATAGCTTTGCTGAAGAGGAGGAGATGTAGTGCCAAGAAGTTGGGAAATTAAAGAGTAAAAGTTGTACGAGCAATGTTAATTCGGTCCTACATGTGTACCTCCTCTGGGACAGTCTGAACTGGCTAATCATGTGTTGTGTCATTAATTAAAAATTGATCATCCTCTTGCAGTCTCTCAGATCTCCATATGGGATCCAGCCTACAGCAAAACCATGCTAGACTTTGCACAGGAATATTAATTCCTTGTTTGTGCTTTTATTGGTGTTTATTGCAGTATCTGGGTGCCTCAAAACTGTTGTGTATTTTGTTACTCTCTTGGCAGTGTTGGAACACATTATCCCATTGACGGGTGGAAAAATTTGATGAAAAGTTAAAATGACTTCTGAAGTCCTCATGTAAATCAGAGGCAGCCCTTAATCTGAATCAGAAACCTGTGACTCCATGTCCCTGTGTCCCAATCATGTTCCCTTATTCACAGAAATACTGTCTATTTATGGCTCCCATTTTCTTCATGTGTCTGCAAGGCTCAGCAACCCTTAAATCAAGCCAGTGATTGCCAAGCTGGGCACTCAATAAAAAGGAAATGAAAGACATGTAGCCAGATACAAGAGGTTTGACTGACTTGCTTGCAGGGAGCTCAGCTTTATTTTTGTGATTCTTTTATTAGGTGGGACAATATTTTATCCTCATTTTCTGAATGAGGAATCGAGAAAGAGAAGTGTGAGGGCCTGAGTCTGCAAAGGTGACTCAATGCTTTGCTTTTCTGTTCTGATTCATCATTTTAAATGACTGCTTCCAATGTCAAGACAGGTTTTTTTGCCAAGTACTTTATATTTTCTATCATTTTATAACATCAGACTAACCACATTAGTTATTAGTTATCGAGTGCAGCTTTGTAATGACATTAGCCTTGCCAGCCATCTTTACCTACTACTCCCATTATACAAATAAAAACACCAGGAAAGAATGGCCGAGTGACTTTTCCAGCTGTTTTATAATAAGTTAGTTGTAGGTAAAATATCAAAACTTAGTACTGTTTTGCTTTCTCCCTAGGACTGGTGAAATGGGTGTGGTTATTGTACTGGTTGTTTTCTGTCTAGACCCAACATCCAGTATTGCAAGCTTCTTTAAAGAAGAAGGCTGCATATATGAGCAAAACTACATTTAATAGCATTTCCAAATATGCATATGCTATCCCAGTTATTAGGCAAACTGATGTTTGTGGATGTGAACAGTCAGCAGGGCAGTATTCTGATAATGACAGCAGTATGCTCAGTGATCGTTCTGTATCAATGACAGGATACCATTGTGCATGACCTGGGGGCATATCTGGAGTCTGGATCTTGGTGAATAAAGGCAGTCAAATCCTGAGTATGCATGTGAAATAGCTGCAGTAATTGCTGAGTAAATATGTAAGAACACCAAAGAGGGATGGCTGCTCTCCCAGCTGCTCGCAGCCAGTTCCACACATTGGCAGGGAAACAAGTAACAGCAGGCTCAACCAGCAGAGGATGCACTGGCCTTCTACTCTGCCATCATTTGTCTCTGTCATTTTCTCATGTACTGCTCTGCCTCATCCACCTGTGACTTCCACGCACAAACCTCTCTCCTGCAGGTTCGCCACAGCATCAAACCTTTATTTTATACAAAAAGGTCTGTTGCGTACAGAGGTGCTTAGAAGTCTGTTTTCTCCTGATGGAACAGCATCTGTGAGGTACTGAGGTTGCTTCAGGTGGATTGCCCAAGGCCTAGTCTAGCTCAAATGTAAAAGCTGTTTGGGATGCTTGATGGGACAGACAGGCTTGTTACTTGTTAGGACTCTGCAGAAGACTAACGTAGATGAATTTTATGCAAATTCCATTAAAGCTGCTGTAGCTAGTAGAGATAAAACATCTGTAATGCATGGTCTTTGATGACCTCTGCCTTCCTTTGAGACAGGAGGCACTGACAGGATAACTTCCTTGCTATGTCGTGTTGGAGTCATCACTCCTCTCTCCACTCAGGAATGTAATTATCTTCATTGAGATCTTTCCTTGTGTGTCCTTTACTTACACAGTGTACATTTTTGTATCTTCAGCTGTTTCTGGGTCAATGTTTATGTAAGTGGTGTTCTGGGAGGGAATCTAGACAGTGAACAGACACAAGTAATACTTGATTTTTGTTTTTCTCAAGAATTAGGAAGCACTTAAATTTTTAGTAGTAAATAATGTTTCATCTCCTTCACTTTTAGGGAAAAAAAGAGTTCTCAAAAAATTATTTGATTCAAAATCCAAGAGGTCTAGTGGTGGCCTTTTGAAGCAGATTCAGTAATACCATCATAATAAGAATCTTAATATTCATATTCAATATTAATTATTAAGTAATGTTAATATTATTAATAATGTATTAGTAATTTGAGTATCAAATAAGCCAGAACTGAAGTACCTCAAAGCTATAATTTGCCTTTGGAAGTGCTGGGATGCTCATTCAGATTCAAAAGTTGATCCTAACAAGCTGTGTTGCTTATGCTCATCTTCTCCCATCTCCCTTCTGTTGCAAGCAGCAATTACTGAAGTTTGCATAGAAGCAATTGATCACCCACATTTGAAAAACTGTAGCATTGGTACCACTGATGTTGTGATAAAGGTGAAAGAAAGCAGCAATCTCAGTTTCTTAAAAGAAGAACATTTGTGCCCAGGGACTCAAAACCCACAGTGTGACTCTTTCCCTGTCTGTGTACCTCTTGAAACTGGGTTTTGAGGATTTGATTAGTTTCTATACTCTTTTATTTGCTTGTAGGTAATAAAGAATGTTTTATATCCTCTAACAAGCTTAAGCGCCCCAATGCAAACAGCAGCAATAGCTTGTGATATAATTACATACCCCAGGGAAGTGATTTCTGACTATTGTTAAAAAAATTAAGTTGTCCTGACCTTTTTTATAAATCAAAATCTTACTACTGCAATGTGAACTGTGATGAAAAAACCCTATGTTTTATTAAATGTAAACAAAAGTAGTAATTTCAGAATGGCATTGAAAATATTTTTTTGAAACCACTGTGAAGGAAGATAGGAAGGAAGCCATGAATGCCAAGATTTAAACTGGAATCTGTTTCATCTAATGATATTGATGTTCACTTAGTGTTTATTGGCTCCCTGCATTGTAAAAAAGCAAGGCTTTGCATGAAGCCATAGTGTATAATTTATGCTATCACAGGCCTGATAGTTAAAGCAAATTGGTCTTACCATCCCCATCATTACTTTGTTTTTCAATGTCTCTGTGAGCTTTTGTGTACAGTTAGGTAAGAAAGAGTCCTATACTTGTTTGTCATGGAGACTGCTCAAGCAGCAGTACAGCTGAGTTTGGAAAGCACCCGTTCACATTTGGATCACATGCTTAACAGATGGAAAGGACTTGAAACTTCACACAGGTGTTTATAAATAGCTGCAGTCTGTGGCTAAGGTTCACTGCTGTTGCTTCTGTGTAAGAAATAAAGAATTCATGTAAGACCATGAAACTGAAATGCAGTGCCTTTGTCAAATTTCATAGTTTTTTCTCTGTACCTATTGGTAAACTTACTTCAAGTGAGTTACTTAATCTTGCAGGTTTTCATAGCTGAAAAAATGTATGGCTGTGTCTGGTCTTTCTGCTGGAGCGTACCACAGCTTCTGTTCAGCCCTGCATCCTTGGCTTTCCTTTCTGGAGAAACCAACATCAGAATAGAGTCTTTCCTGGTTGTCAGAGTTTTGCCCTGACACCAAGTTCAGGTGAAACTGAATAGAGCAGCTGGATCTAAGAGCTAACACCTGGTCCTAGATCCCCTAATCTAGATGTGCATAAAAGAATTTCCTTACAAGAAATAATGTCAGACTAAAATATAAACAACCTCCTGTCCCAGAACCTGTCACATACAGTTCAATTCATGCCTAAATGATCTTTATCCTTCACATTTCTCAGCGTTGGGGACATGGATGTGTTGTGTCTCTCAAACAAAGCAAGGCATTTTCATATCAAAATACAATGAAGTATATTTTGTAATGTAATAAAGGATATTTTCACTCACTATTTGTTGTTATACTTGCTTCCAATTAAAAAGAAAAAACAAAACCCAAACCCAAAAAGAAATACTAAATTTTTTAGTTGTTCTCTCTAGAGGGTGATTGTTAAGTCATGAAGAATAAATAATTCAAGTTTGTTTACTGTCGTCAGTAAAAAGTGGTGTTTGTCTATTTGTTTTTAATATCAGATTAGAGGAACAATTGAAATAGTAAGCTTTATTTATTTTCGAGTGGAAAATATAAAAAATTCTAGAAGCTTTGGGAAAAACAGAACAATGAATAGAATGACATTTATGAATTAGACTTTTAAGAAATAAGCTAATATATGCTAAACATATTTTCATATAGTGTACCCTTCTGTTTTTCATAATTGTCATTTATTTGTGAAACATTTACAGTTTAAATAGATGAAAGAAAAAAATTATGGTATGCCTGGAATGAACTGAACATGGACAATTTTTAGTCATTTGAAGACTGAAAGTAAAAGCCTTCATGTTAAGCAGTGCTGTGTCCTCTCTAGAAAATGAAAGGCTGAATACAGTACAGGCTTCAAAGCAGTTTATTGCTAATATGCTAGTGAGCATTAAATGAAAACAAGCAGTACTTTAATCAGAAGCCACAAATGTGGTATTCCTCTGATTTATTAAAATTTTTGATTGAAAAGACTTGGGCACTTGCTTTTTGTTAAATTATAATATGCATGGTGACAGAAATATATTTCTTAAATGAACAAAACCATATTAATAGCAGAAACCAGATATCTTCTGAGTTTGATTAGGTTCCCTTTAAAAATATGAAATACTTG